CAGGTCAAAAACGTGATCATCAACCTTCAAGCACTCAAACTATGAATGGACGGACAAACTTTATTTAATGTATAACATCATAAAGTTATGAAAAATATAAATTTGTCTTTTTGTTAAATAAAGTTCAGTGCAGGTCTGAGAGTTCCTTACGTCACTCGTCCACCTAACTGAACTATAGACAATCTGTGGAGGGGCTGTATGAGAACAGAGAGAGGAGGGGGGGTGCAGAGAGAGAGAGAGAGAGAGAGAGAGAGAGGAGAGAGAGAGAGAGAGAGAGAGAGAGAGAGAGAGAGAGAGAGAGAGAGCGAGAGCAAGAGAGAGAGATGGTTTGGCATCTTCCTATCATGAGGCACATGGCATTTTGGGAGTCATGGTAAACAAACATGTCCTCTTCATGTCTTTCTTTACAAATAAAAATACCCACAATGCCTTAAATTTTCATGAGGCACCTCCCATGAGTCAGCCAATCAGAGGCTGCCGAGCCCCTCCCCCACTCGGATTCGCTGTCCCGGCTGTAGATTAAAGCTGAAGTCTTTCGGAGCCTCGAACAACAGAACGATGGTGGATCCGAGGTTAAACTCTCCGATAGCTTCCCCCCTCTGCAAGGCCACGCCCCCGTCATCCACAGAGACCACCCTGTCACACACAGCTGTCAACACACTGTTCACAACGTTGCCATTAGCAACGTAACTGTGGTCGTGGAACGAGCCTTTACTGTAGCGGGGAGCGTTGGTCTTCAGCTCCTTGACGACGGAAACAAAAACAACGCGATCAATAATCATGTGATCAACGATTCTAAATAAAACATCGTTTTAATCTGGAAAAACATTCAAACATACGACTTTGTATATATTTATAGAAAAATAACAACACTTTAGCTTTTTCACTGCGTTAAAGACGAAAAATTACATTTGAATTACTCGACAAAAAAACTGCATCATTTCCTGTTCTCACCTCGTCAAAGTAAACCCTGATGGATCCTACGTTCGTGGCTCCGACCGCTGTTAACGAGAAGAAGCCGTGCTCCCATTGGCCGGTGAGGGCCACACGCTCGTTAAGACAGAAGAGTTCTTTGACCAATCGAGCCACACCAGGGTTGACTGACATTAACGAGCCTAACGAGGAGATGGAAAGGTGAAAAACAGATTAACCAGAGACAGGTGATCAAGTGATCAGGTGATCAGATGAACAGGCGATCAGGTGACGCTCCCTCACCTGGGAAGTGTCGTCGAAGCTCCACCCTCCAGTCTGTGGGCGAATGGAAACAGTGATAATCACCTGGAGCAAGGTAAACAACAACGTGGAACAGGTCGTGATCAGGCGACGTCAGGAGGCGGTCCCTGAAGGACAGGGAGGACTCTGAAGAGAGGAAGGGGGGGGGGGGCAGCAAATGACTCTCAGATGCGTTATAATTAGAGATCTAATTAATATCTGATTGATTTCTTTATTGATCTGAGGTTGTGTGGGCGTGGTCTTACCATGGCCCCGCCCCTCCTGTGGACCCAGGAAGTTCTCCAGACTGTAGGTGACACCCTTCACCTGCTCCACCTCCGAGTTCTTCACCTGACCAAAGTGCAGGACCCGCCCGTCTGCTGGAGAGATCTGACAGGACGAACCAACGACCAATCAAATGACGGGAAAGTGTTTGTAAATCTCACCTCAGACTCTGATTGTGTGTTTAAGGAAGCGTTACCAGGCAGGAGGAGGTGCAGAGCGGTCTCACAGCAGGTTTGAGACGTCGACGGAAAAATTCCCCCAGATTCCTGTAGTGATGTAAGTCCTCCACCGCTGCCTCCTGGTGGACATATAGAGAACAACATGAAATAAAAAAAGTTGGTGTCTCAGATGCGTCAGATTAAACGTCATCATCACCTTCATGTCGACCCCAAACGTCCAGATGTAGAGCGAGTACAATGGTTTACGGAGCCAGGTGGGAAGCTCCACGCCGTTCAGACGACCCCAGGCCCGAGAGAGGAGGCGAGTCGGAAACGAGTGGTACAATGACACCTGCAGGATAAAACAGGAAAATATAATCTCAACTATCTTTGCTCAAGACAGAAGAGAAAAATATTTGTTAGAATTTTTTAAAATGTAACTTTAACGAAGAAAGTGATGGAAGAAGAAAAAAAGTGAAGAGATGAGTGGGGAGGAAATGAAGGGAGGAGAAGAGGGGGAGGAAATGTCTCAACGAGGACATACATATATGTTCGTAAACCTTCCTCCCACTTTCCATTTATCCAATCAAAACCATTCCCCTGCTCCTCTTACCCGTTTGGCCAGCGGCCGCAGGGCACTGATGGACAAGACATAGCAGAGGAAGGCAATTGGCTGACGGCGCCAAGGGGCGGGTCGGCACACACCGCCACGGAGCACGCTCAGACGATGACGAAGATCCAAACGAGGCACCTGGAGCCTGATTATTAATGAGATTTTACGAGATTTTACAAGATTTTGGGACCATGTGAGTGGGTTGGAGGAGAGAGGAAGAAAAACACCTATAATAATCATTTTAAACTAAAAAAGAAAGAAGTAACAGTTAAATGATGGTCGGTCAAATGACGAGTCAAAGTAAAGTGTTAGGTCTCAGTTAAAAACATTTTTAAATGTCTTTTTATTAATATTTGTTTAGGTTAAGTTTACATTTTTTCATATTCAATTTTTTTAATCATTGTTAATATTCTATAGTCAGAAGTCATTAAGATATATATCATGTGACTCCGAGTCCGAGGTATAACTACTAAAATAAAAACAGATTAAAAAAAGCAAATATATTAAATATAAGAATAAATAAATACATTTATTATTAAATAATAAAAACAGATTAAAAAAAGCAAATATATTAAATATAAGAATAAATAAATACTACTAATAATAAAATTTATTATGAAATAATAAAAACAGATTAAAAAAACACAGATTTGTGTTTTTCTGTGTGTGAGTGGAGGAGGAGGAGGACTTACAGCACAAAACAGATGCTACGCTACAGCAGAGCTAGCAGGAATTATGCTAACGTGCTAAAACCTGGTTTGAAAACAAACCAATACAAATGAATCAATAAGTTAATCCACAGTGTTCGATGATGTCAATCGATCAACGAGCTGTTGTGACTGATCAATTTCCTGTAAATCCACTTTGATTAACCAATCAACAAGTTGTGCCAGGAGGAGGGGGGGGGGGGTAACTGGGTTAGCACAGGATCAACTGGAAACAGGCTAAGCTAGGCTAAAATAGCTGATCTGATAAATTAGCTATTGCCCTGGAACACGCACACACACACACACAAACAGTAATCTCCTTATCTCCCTCTCTCTCTCTCTCTCTCTCTCTCTCTCTCTCTCTATATATATATATATATGTTGTTGCTGTTTTCAGACATGAGCTTCAGGTAAAATCCAGAGAATCGTCTCCAGAGTTTGTGTTTCACATCTGAACAACACAGCAGCAACATGAGCCTCCTCCTCATTCTGTGGGTGAGAGGTGAAGCAGCCGGGTGCAGCAGACAGAGACAGGAAGTGACGTAGGAACTCAGACATCACGTGATCATGTTTACATCACCCCGACACCGTCGTCAGCTCTAATCACCACAAACTCTCTTCACATCTTCGTCTGTGTCGCCAGAGACATTTGTTTTCTTTTTGTTTTTTCAGTTTTTGTGTCTGTCACACGTTAGAAGCTCTTAACCCCCCCCCCACATGATCTCCAGAGGAAATACAGAGGAAGTTAAGTTCATGTCTGAAAGCAGCTTAACTTCCCTCTCTCTCTCTCCATGTTATCTATCTGTCTCTCTCTCTGTCTGTGTTCTCTCTCTCCATGTTATCTATATGTCTCCCTCTCTCTCTGTCGTGTGTCAGAGTCTCTCGCCCTCAGACAGTTTATTTAAACCATTGAATTATAAACTTCCCCTCATTCTTTCTCTTCACACTGTAAAAAATACATTATTCCACACATTTAAAAACTCCTCCCCTACAACTCCCCCCTCGCCCACCTGAATCGTGCCGTCGTTTTCCTCCTTACCCCCCTTCCTCCTCTTCCTCCTCCTCCTCCGTCTCTCGCACGCCTCACCTGACGCAGCAGGTCGCACTCATGTCTGCCGGCGGGGCAGCGGGACAAGGAGCTTACCATGAGCGAGAGACCTCCGCCGGAGATAGAGAGAGAGATGGCCGCAGACACATTCGGACCAGTTGACACGATTTAATATAGAGAAGAAGAAAGAGCTGATGTATCCACTGACACTAGAGAAGAAGTGACAGAGGAGGAGGAGGGGTGAGGTATTAATACTGAGGACACACCCCCTCCTCCTGCTCCTCCTCCTTTCAACATTAACATTGAAATGAGTTTATTTTGTCATTTTCAGACTTCTTACTTTCACTATTGCTTTGTTATTTTATTGAATTTTATTTATCTGTGAAATGTGTTGTAATCTCGAGTCAATCAAAGCCTCCCTCTGTCCTGCCCAGTTACTGATTAACCAATCAGATCATGTCCCAAGCGAAAGCACAAATCAGGAGGCAGGTGGGACAGTGAGGAGAGGGGGCAGGGCCTATGTGAAGCAGTGATGTAGTGACCGGTCGGTGTGACATCGTCACGTCACAGTCAACTATCACCCAGTGGGACCATCACAGTGTCCGAACCAAACAAAGTGATGTTACTCAACTGTCAGATCTGAACCTCTGTACCGACTCAGGTGCACCTCACTTCCTTGTTTGATCTGTGCACACGTGTACCTGACATGTTATCTGGTACTTGTTTACTATGCTGTGAACGGACGGGTCCAGTCTACATCAACGACATGATTAAACCTAATGATTACACCCGTCCACTCCGCTCTCCATCGACCAATCGACTGCTCCCTCACTGTTTGTTGTCCTGGCTCCCAAATGGTGGAACGAGCTCCATGTTGACAACAGGACAGAAAGTCTCCACATCTTCCACCACAGACTGAAGACACATGTCTTCAGACTACACCTTCCAACCATCGTCAACTCTGGTGTTTATATTTAAAAATATATCGCACTTACATGTAGCACTTTGTACTTTGGCTTTTTGGAAACTAATATACTTCCTTGATTGTTTCTGTTCTGGGTTTGTTCCCTCGTGGTTGATGCACTTATTGTGAGTCGCTTTGGATAAAAGCATCAGCTTCATAAATGTATTGTAATTGAATGCGCGTAACCGGACAGGTAATCTGGCGTTTTTTTACCCCCAAGTGAAAAGAGCAGGCAAAGAGATAGGAGTGGGAGGTGAGGAGGATAAAGATGGAGAGATGATAAGAGAAAAGGAGGTGAAGGGGATGATCTCCTACCTGTGTGGGTGTGGCCAAAGTGGGTGGAGCCCCATCCTCCTGTTGACCCCTCCTTCTGTAGTGCTGGTAACCAAGGTAACCGCCACCTGTCACCAACAGGATGGGAAGAGGCCGGGGACGAGGCAGGAAGCTCCGACCTGAAGAGAGACAGCTGATTGGTCCAAAGATGTGATAACACCTGGTCTCATGAGCAATCATCACCTGACACACGAACGACAACAAAACCTCTCATCTGATTCTTTATCAACATGAATATAAATATATATTGTGTAAAATATATGATCATTAATTATTATTTCACGTGTGCATGTTTGGTGTGAAAGATTCAATGTCTAGACAAACTCAAATATCAATTATATAACGACTGTAAAGTTGCAGATGAGTTTGTTTGAAATATTGATAAGAGACGAGTCGTCACCGCCTGATCTGTGTCAAAGTCCAAACTGTGAACTCTTCGTATGATCACATGACGCCACATGATGTCACAGTGTGGGCGTGTTGACAACACTTCCAACACACCAGAGACATAAAACTGATAAAGCGGAGAATCTCCTGCTGTTCACGCGTCCCAACTAAATTCTTTAGAAATGTAAAGGTGCAGAGCCTCACCTGTGCTGAGGAGGCGCTGTTGGCTGAAGCTCAAAGCAAAAACTCTGCAAACAACCGAGATCAAGTTTCATCATCAAAACACTGTTAAATATAAATTCATCTGATTTCCATCAGTTGTTAATAATCAAATCACTTTCACACAGAACACCAGCTGATCACATGATGGTGAGTTCTTCTATTTAAACCGCAGCTTCAGGTGAAACCTTCTTCTCACCTGAGCCGAATCTTACATCTCACACTCACACACGTCACGCATGTGTGACGTCACTGTTCACGCAACGTTTGGATGTCACGAATGATTTAAAATTAAATGGACATAAACTCTGAACAGAGTCCGGTCTGTGTCTCCTCGCGTGCGCGTCACGGACACAGCAACCGCTTTACTCCGTCACACGGAGGTCACACGTCACTGCCACGCGATGACATCACTGTAACATTTTCATTAAAGAGTAAAACAAACGTAAGAACCTGAGAAATGTTCCTCCGCGCGCACTCCTCAGGGGCGCCGCCATGTTCTGTTTGCGGAAGTGACGTCGGGACGTCGTTCGACGGAAGAGCGTCTCTATGTTTACGTAACGTTTCTATATATATATATATATATATATAATGAATTTATGTTGGAGAAGATTATAAAGGAGAAAAATATAAATGAGTTCTGTAGTTTTCTGTTTGGTTCATAAAGAAATGAACATGTTCTCTCTGACCTGACACCGGAAGTCATCATGGTCGTTTCAATGACGTGATCAAACTTGAGATCGTTCGTTAAAACTTGTTTTCGTTAAAAAGTAGAAACGAAAAATAAAGATAGAATATTCAAAAAAGGAAAATAAAGAACTATGACGGAAAATAAACGTTTAAATCAATTCATTTTTCTGAGGATCAAATTTGTGTGTATATGAATGTGAGTGTTTGTGTATATATAATATTTATGAAAAACTGAGCTGCTCAGCCAATCATAGAGGTCGATCAATGTTTAGACGTTGAACAGCGACAGCTCCTTCATTCTTGATTTTCTCGACGATTGGTTAAGAAGCTCTGAGAGAATGATTTCATTAATTTACATTCGTTTTCATCTTTGTCACTTTGAAGAAAAGAAAAACATGATGCAAAATAAAGTGATCAGAAAAAACTTTATTTGTTCCAAAAATAGAAGCACTTTCAGCAGAAATATATATTACACTTTAAAAATATTTACCAGTGACTCAAGAGTGACAGCGTCTGTTTCGTGTTTGTTATGAGGTGGAACTGATACCTGCAGGGGGTGTGGCCTCTGAACAGGTATCTTAAAGTCAACCACAATAAAAAATATTAAATATTCACATTAAAATAGTCTACACTGTAAAAATAATCAAACATCAAGAACACAGCAAAGAAAAAACCCTGTAACATGAGACCGCCTTCCTGATGTCATCACCAGGGTAACACGGCAGTTAGCAGGTGTGCTAGCAGCTGTTTGTTTGGCCGAAAGTCAGCAGACAGGAAGTGTTGCCACAGTTCACACATCTAGGCCCTGTTGTGTCAGAAAGTCTTCGAGCGCGCTCAGCCGCTCCACCAGCATCACATCCAGGTCCATGTCATCATCACCGCACCCATCGCCATGGCAATGTCGCCGAGCAGCTGCACGCTTCCTTGGAAACGTGCCGCCTGGAAACCACGCCCCTAAAAAAAGGAAATTTTTTAAAACCTTTTCTGTTCTTTGAAACTAGAACTCTCCCACAGTGTGAATTACTCTCCCAGCATACCTTGTGGTCTCTTCCTCTTCCTGGGCTGAGTGAAGTCAGGGAAGAGAAGAAGCCTGCGTCTCCTCTGCTGGCCAATCAGGAGCAGCGCTCCGTCTTTCTCTCGTGGCTCTTCAAAAATTGTCTCCAGACTCCTGTGGGTGGACAGAAAGGCATGCTGGGAGATGTAGTTTGTGCAGCAGGTTTACACAGTTTATGGTGGTGGGGATTTGTAGTTTGTACCTGTTGGTGGTGGGGGACTTGTAGTTCTTGTTGGTGTAAATCTCTTCCAGACTGAACTCCTTTTTCTTTAACCTGAAACATAAATATTTATTATATATTCAATATTTTTGTATTGATTTTCTACAGAATTTAATTTGGCCTGCTTCCCTCCCTTCTCTATTGACCTTTTTGCTTTTGGAAGTCCCATTGGTGTGAGCGGTGTTTCCCGTGGCGACGTCCGGCGGATTCGAATCTGTGAGACAAGTTTACCACGCTGAGCAGAAAAACAAAAAAACAAGGGAAAGAAAAAAAGTGAGTACCGCTGATGAAGAAAACAGAAAAATTCAAACCAAAGCTTTATTATTCAAAACAGAAATTACTGAATACACTGCACCTCTCCCTTTGAGCTGAGGAACTCAGAGCTTGTGGCTGATTGGCTGCCAGTAAAAGGAGCAGACAGTCCATTGGCTGTGCAAGGGGGGAGAGGCAGGGGCCGTCGCCAAGGAGGGTGGAGGCTCCGAGAGCTTCGATTGGTTCGCTGCTTGTGTTGTCGCCGGCTGGAAAACGTCAGACTGTAACACAGAAGTTATTCAATCAGAAATGTTTGAACTTTAACCCGTCGTCATGACAACAAAAATAAAGCACGATGGCGTCACATCAGTTCTTGAACAGAGAACACAGTACGAGCTCTGTGAAAAGGACTGTATGTCTATGTTCTAAAATTACCTTGGTGAAGGTGTTCGCACATAACTGTGAAAAAAACAAACCATTTATCAGCGGTTTATTGACAGTAAATCAATGATCAATAACTATATAGAATCACATACATGAAGAAGAGAATTCAAAGATTTAATCATATAAAAAGGTTCCCGATGAATATTTATTTTACAAACCAGTGATCGCTGCTCACACTGGGCGGGGCCGTCGAGTCCTTCAGGGGCCGGAGGGGATTCCCACATGTCCCGCCCCTCACTGAGTCCATCATCGTCTCTACGGTGACCACTGAAAACCGCAACATGGAGGCGGGGTTAAATGAAGAGGAGGAAGAGTTGAGCCACAGGCCAAAGGCACTGAGATTGGAAGTGAGGCGAGGGGTCAAGTCAGAGAACCACCATTGGCTGGATGAGACAGCAAGAGCTTCTGATTGGCTGCATGTCCGAAGACTCTCAGCTGATTGGAGAAGGTGGATGTCATCCTGGGATGATGAGCTGAGGATGCTGGGAAATGAAAAATATGATTAAAATGTATTATATTTAAATATTTTACACTTTTCATCTCTTGCCCTCTCTCTCTCTCTCTCGTTGTTTCTCAGTGTCTCTTGCCCTCTCTCTCTGGTTGTCTCTGTGGTTGTATCTCGCCCTTTCTCTCTCTCTGGTTGTCTCTCGCCCTCTCTCTCTCTGGTTGTTTCTCGGTGTCTCACCCGTGTAGCAGCGGGGGTCTGTAACCGTTTGGTCTGATGACACTGACAGTCTTCTCTGATTGGCCAGTTCCTCCGCCTCTGTGTTTCTTGTGGTTGAAGTTGTGCAGGGTGATTGGCCCTTCCTGTTCCTCTGCTCCTCCCCCTCTGAAGCAGACTGCCATCTGACCAACAAACCTCCCAGCATTCTCTTCTTCATCATCTTCTTTGTTCCTCCTCTTCCTCCTCCTCCTCACCTCATCACCCTTGCTCTCCCCCCTCCTCTGCTCTGATTGTTCGAAACAGGACAGAGCAGGAGAAGTGGCTGACCTCTCGCTCTCTAACGTCACTGAAGCTGATAAAGAGGAGGAAACAGGAGGAAGGACGGCAGAGACACAGGAGTAGGAGCAAGAGAATGAGGAGGTGGAAGAGGCATCTGGAGCTAACAATGATAAAACAGGAAAAAGACAAGTTTAGTTGTTGGGGTTTCAAAGTAAAACAGATTCATATTAAAATGATAAAATCCTAAATGTGATTGAACTAATCAAGACTAATTAGAATAATTGATTCATTGATTAACACAATTCACCATGACACCAAGCTCCTCCTCCCCCTCCCGTCATACTCTTCTTCTTCTGCCTCTTCTTCCTGCTCCTCCTCTCCAGAGTGTCCAGACGACGACCCAGAGAAGTGAGCGCTCCTCGTAAGAGGCGTCGCATCTCCAACCGGTGAGCTGAGAGGAGGCGAGGAAGAAGGGAGGAACAGGAACAACGAGGAGGAGGAGGAGGAGGAGGAGGAGGAGGAAGAGGAGGAGGGATTGATGGAGGGGTGTGCACAGTGGAGGAAGAGACAGGGGAACAAAGGGATGAAGGAAGAGGAGAAACAACACAAGAGGAGTGATGATAAACATGAGGAGGATGAGGAGCAGAAGAAAAAGAAGGTGGATGATAGTCGGAAGGAGGAGACAACAAGTTAGGAGGTAAAGGATGAGACACACAAAGAGGAGCCAGAGGGCTGGAGGTAGAAAGAGAGGAGCTAGAAGATGAGGGAGGAGGAAGAGTGGAAGACGAATGATGAGAAACAGGGACAGGAGGAGGAGGTGAAATAAAAGGAGCAGAGGAGACAAAGGGAGGACAAGAAGCGAGAAACATGGGATTAGGAGGAGAGAGGGGACGAAGACATGTGAAAGATGAAGGAGAGGAAAGAAGGGTGTGAGGAGGAGATAAAGACCGAGCAGAGGGAGGAAGAGGAGGAGGTGAAGAGGAGAAAACACCTGTAGGACCAGAAACAACAGTCAGTACTCGCTCTCCTTCCTATTTTAGATGTAACATAAGCTGACTCGCCCCACAATGCAGACATCTCCTGACCAATCACAACAGAGCGTTCTCCTTAAACTGTCAATGTCAACATATAAACACCTACCTGTGTTTTCCACCAATGAGAGAACAGGAGGCGCGGTCACCGCTGACAGGCCCCGCCCTCTATTGTCGCTCTCAGTCTGTGAAAGAGGTCGAGAGAGCATGGTGGAGACTAGAGGAGAGAGAGAGAGGGAGGGGGAGACAGACAGAGAGAGGGAGAGAGACAGACAGAGAGAG